TGTAGTGAAAAAAATTGCTTCTCACTGTTCTCAGGTCAAATATTTATATGCGTATTAAAAATGCGATTAATTGCGATTAATTAATTACAAAGCCTGTAATTAATTAGATTAATTTTTTAATCGAGTCCCGGCCCTAATTTTTTATTTATTTATTTATTTTATTTTTATTTGTTATGTGGGAAGAGGTGGGGCGACGCCCCTAGCGCCCCTATGGGCCAGCCGCCACCGCTGATGATATTGAGACGCATCAGAGAATAGCGGCATAGGTGGCCTATGATAAGCAAATGATATGCTCTGCAAGTATATATATATTATATCGATAAATGTTGTTTTGTCCGCGAAACAATACATTCATTGTTTTGGATAGTGCAAACGGGTCACGCACCTTACCTTACTGATTTGCAAAAACCATAAGACGAGTCCTTCGGTGGGCAGGGAAAAAAACGTGTTCGCCAGAATCGTCACTTCCTGTACTGACAGTGGAGGTGTCCTGAGAGTGGAGATCTGCACCGGAACTGTCCTGAGAGTGGAGGTCTGCAGGCAGACCCCTCTCAAAATAGACGCCTGTTTTCTATTGGCTCAGCCTCCAGTGATGAGGAGGAGGAGGAGAGAGGGAGTAAGTATGATGAATGTGGCTGTAGTCCTGTGTTCCCCCTGGGGGTTTCACCTGTAACTCACTGAAACATGTCCAACCCCCCTGGAACCATCAGATGGATAGAAGAGACACTGCTTCCTGTAGTCCATCGTCCTTTTACAGTTCGCACGGAAAGCATCAGTGTTTGTATGACTGTCGATTACAGAAGTGTCTCCTCTGTCCATTTGACCTGTCTCACACACCTTCTAACTGCCTTTAGTTATGTTAAGGTGACTGGTATCAAAACTCCTTTTCATTTAGATGGTAATGCATTCAAATGAATCACTGCCGCTTGAAAGAACCAGGGTACACTTGCTGTTCCAGCGAGTTACCATAAGGGTAAGTATCAGATCTGTTCAACGCAGAGACCACCATAACGCGATGCAGGAATGAGTCCTAAAACCTGGAAATGAGTTAGCGTTTTAGCATTGACGGTTTCCCATGTCTCGAAGTCAAAACAAATTTGAACGGGTTTTTGGTTAGATGCCTGAAACAAGGTCTGTGGTTAACACAAGCTGAAGAGACATTTTTTCCACCACATGAAATACATCAGTTAACACCCCACTGGTGTATGTCCAAAGCTTTTATGTGTCATAAAAATGGCGGTTGCTCGCATGGAGAATCCTAAACGTCACCATCCAACATTCCAACATTAGCCGCCTTTAGCTAAGTGTTGTGTTGACGCAAACCTGGCGACGTCATGAAGTCTGTTTATAGCCTAAATTATAGTCAAAAATTCATAAAGGGGTATTTTTATGTGGAGATTATCCTGCTGACCAATGCATGTACATCAAATACACCATTTGTTGTTGCAACTTTCTATTTTACCATTCATTCTTGGGCTAGAATAAATTCCAGTTCCTCGATAAAAATATATTTAGTCGCCTGGTGTTTTTGCAATTCTTATTCACCTTTTCTCTTCAGAGCCAATATATTTGACATGTGAAAAGGAAAAATGTGAAGCTTTATGATTCACTAAAATGAGTCCGTTCAACAACACAAATAATCCACTTGTGAAATCAATCAACTTGTGTTATAGGCACTTTATTACTACTGTTTACCTGTTGCTCTTTTTGACAAATCAAGAGATAATTGCCTTCATAAAAAATCCTCCAGAGTAGTAAAACCCTGTCTGTTAGTGTCATAAACTCTCTATCATAAGCTAAAAGCAGGTTAATCTGTAACTCTGACTGGACTTCCTGGATCAGACCTCCCTGGTTCCTCAAACCACACACCCCCACCAGAACTTCCTGTATACTGTTCTAACTAAATAACTTAAATACATTTATACGATTAAAGGATATAATATATGTATTCCTGGTACAGTGTAAGGATTGGCAGCTGTGTTGATCACATGTGTGTCCCTCTCTGCTTCCTGTAGGCGGGAGCTCCTTCTGCCCCAACTCCGGCTCACTGGAGTACAGGTAATAACGCTCAAATTATCCGATTGTTGATGAAAAAAGTGTTGCTTTCACACTATTTGAAAACTTTAAAGCTAACCTTTTAAATTACCTTTGTTTAAAAATGTGCCGTGGACAAATTGGCAGAACTGAAAAAGTGGTTGTGGGTGACCGTTTCATGTTCTAGTAGTTCAATACAATACCAAAAATAACACAAAAAGTCAATTAAGGAGACATTTAGATTGTATTTGGGGATATATGGGAAGGTGATTTTTTTCACACAAACCCAACATCTTTTTAGGCTTTTTAGAAGAGCCTTGCAATGTATATGTCAGTTTTTTCGAGCTGTAAATGATTGAAAGTGTGTTTTGTCTACAAAGTTTGGGAAGGCAGTGTTGATGATTTCCATCTCATCAGTAATAGATCTCTAGTCGATAGTGTTACATAAGCATGGCATGCCGAAACCCATATTATTGTGCAGTAACACAATTTAAACACAATATAATTACTGTAAATCTAAACGCACCCCACACACCACAACACAGACTATATCACCCCTTGCTGCTAAATACCAACAAACTATGCAATATATAAATGCCGTTAATAACTGTAATGGCTTTCTAACCTGGCTGCTAAATCCTAAGAACTGTTACACGGTGTGTATTTTGTAAATTGTGTAACTTGCTGCTGTTAAATACCAACCACCTACTGTATGTGCAATAGATGTGCAATATATATAGATGCCGTTAATAGCTGTGTAATATACACCTGGCTGCTAAATCCTAAGAACTGTTACAGGATGTGGTTTTTTTTTATTATGTAACTTTTTTTTTTATTATATATTTTTTATTATATCATAACTTAGTACTTTTTTTTTAATACATGTCACATATTTATTATGTAACATTAAGCTGTCTCTGGCTCTTTTCCTGATGTAACCACAAACATTTCCCCTCCCTGCTGCCTCACTGAGAGAGATTGCTGTATGTTGGTTAAGCAGAAAGTATTAAATTAGATTAAGTGATTAATTAAATTGCTGGTATGTTTATTAAACGTGTGTGTGTGTGTGTGTGTGTGTGTCAGTATTTCAGAGGATGAGCCGGGGCCCCTGCGCAGCGACTTTGAGGGGAAAGGAGGCCCTAAAATCAGCCGCACATTCAGCTACCTCCGCAGCAAGATGAGCAAGAAAGGAAAGGTGAGGACATGGAGTCACTGCAGGGGGGGGCGCACACGTGCACATGTTTGACCGTGCACGTACACTATTCACACTACAGCTGTGATGATATGAAGGGACATCACATGTAATTTTGCTGCTGCGTCTATCCATAGGGACTTAACATGTTCATCATTATGTATGTGATACACACACACACACACACACACACACACACACACACCATTAAAATAAAGATTTTCTTTTTCATTCATTACATTGCATTTAGCTGACGCTTTTATTCAAAGTGACTTACAATAAGTGCATTCGACCAAGAAGATACAACCTTGAAGAAAACAGAATCATATAAGTACATCAGGTTTCATAGAGCCAAACATTTCAAGTGCTACTCAACTGGCTTTAGATAAGTCAGTCCTTTATTAGCATATAAGTGCTCTGTTAGCAGTTCTTTGTTAGCAATTCAATCGCTCGAAGTGGAGTCGAAAGAGATGAGTTTTCAGTCTGCGCCGGAAGATGTGCAAGCTATCTGCTGTCCTGATTTCAATGGGGAGCTCATTCCAACATTTTGGAGCCAGGATAGCAAACCCACGTGTTTTTGCTGATGGGAACTTGGATCCCCCTCGCAGTGCGGGTGCAGCGAGCCGTTTGGCTGATGCAGAGCGGAGTGCACGTGCTGGGGTGTACAGTTTAACCATGTCCTGGATGTAGGAAGGGCCAGATCCATTCACAGCATGGTACGCAAGTACCAGTGTCTTGAAGTGGATTCTAGCAGTTACTGGAAGCCAGTGAAGGGAGCGGAGGAGTGGCGTGGTGTGGGAGAATTTTGGAAGGATGAAGACCAGACGAGCAGCTGCATTCTGGATGAGCTGCAGAGGTCGGATGGCACATGCAGGTAGACCAGCCAGGAGGGAGTTGCAGTAGTCTAGGCGTGAGATGATGAGAGCCTGGACCAGAACCTGCGCTGATTTCTGGGTCAGCTGGGGACGTATCCTCCTGATGTGGTAAAGCGTGTATCTGCAGCAGCGGGTTGTAGCAGCAATGTTTGCAGTGAAGGACAGTTTGTTATCTAGGACCACACCCAGATTCCTTGCAGTCTGAGTCGGGGAAACAACAGAGGTGCCGATGTTGATTGTTAGGTCAAGAGTGGGACAATCTTTTCCCGGAAGGAAAAGCAGTTCAGTCTTGTCAAGGTTGAGCTTGAGGTGGTGAGCAGACATCCACTGAGAGATGTCAGCTAGACAAGCAGAGATGCGTGCGACGACCTGGGTCTCTGAGCGGGGAAAGGACAGAATAAATTGGGTGTCGTCAGCGTAGCAGTGGTATGAAAAACCATGCGGGCTAATGACTGATCCGAGCGAGTTTGTGTACAAGGAGGAGAGGAGGGGACCAAGAACAGAGCCCTGAGGGACCCCTGTAGTTAATTGACAAGGGTCGGACTCGGACCCTCTCTAAGTTACCTTATAGGTGCGGTCTTTGAGGTATGAGGTGAGGAGGGAAAGTGCAGAGCCTGAAACTCCAAGTTCTTGGAGAGTGCGAAGGAGGATCTGATGGTTCACCGTGTCGAATACAGCAGACAGGTCCAGAAGGATGATGACAGAGGAGAGGGAGGCTGCTTTAGCCGTGTGCAGTTCCTCAGAGACAGCAAGGAGGGCAGTTTCTGTTGATGACCTGCCTTGAAAAAAAAAGGGCCAGATTCAGTGGTAAAAACAATTCAACCAGTATTACTGTTGCCACATTTCTGAGCAAGAAAAGTTGCAAATGCTCATTTTCAACTATTTAAGCTAGCAATACTCTTTGATGGCTGTATGGAAAAATACAGTCAAGACATTCATCAACTATGTGGCTGTAAGACCACATTAAGTCACTTAGCATGAGAATGTTGAATGGTCCTGTTCTAGCTAGCTTTAGTTTCTCATCGTTTGTTAGAATTTGAGGAAATTAGATATCCATCAATTTTGCCTAAATGTAATTTATGTAATTAACTAACATGATACATTGTAAATTACCCTTTTTTTTCTTATATTCACATTAACTGTTAAGTAAATCAAGCACGGCCTAAGCTAANGATAATTTATAATTAACTACATCTGAAAGCAGAAGTCTAGGGCAGCCGATTCGTACTTGTAATTTCTCTCATCTATAGGCCACTCAGATGTCTCCTCCAGTCTAAGCCAATCACATGAGCGCGCCCCCACGAGGGTAGGATTTATTGCGTTCATGACACTTCATATACGCATTTTGCGCTGTCCGGTCAGCTCGCGAACCAGAGGGCGGAGCATCAGGTGATCATGCAGAGCTGCGTGTCTCCGTCAGACTCAGCAGCTGATCTGATCTCTCTCTCGCGTCCGGTTACACTTCACTCGCGTTTATGTCCATATCGATCAGATCCAGCTCTCCTAATCGGCCTTTATAGAGAGCACCGATCAAACTATTTAGAGTGAATATCGGCCGATAATGACCGGCGGGGCTCCCCCAGTTGACAGTTCACTGTCTAGCACTGGCTTCGTAGTGCACTGATCGATTAGGCTAAGCTAACCTGTAGCTGCTCCCTCCACACTCACAACAACTTCATACAGACATAAATAAAGCAGCTGTATTCGCCATACAGGAAACACATATTTAAAACGGTTTTGCCTGCCGTTTTTGTGTACACACAAGCATTCATCAATGGTTCGGAAAGTGGCGTTGTACCTTAATAATATAAAGGCTTGTATTTGCGTGCATTTCCTGTTCGGAAAGTGGCAATGTACTGAGAGTGGAGGTGTCTTGAGATTAGCGCCTGCAGGCAGGCTCCATGGACCTGTCAGCTCCGGACTGCGCAAAATGCGTACATGAAGCGCTATGTCATGAACGCAATAAATCTACCCTCGTGGGGGCGCGCTCATGTGATTGGCTTAGACTGGAGGAGACATCTGATTGGCTATACATAAGAAAAAGTACGAATCGGCTGACCGTCAGGGGAGTCTCAAAAAAAATGCACAGCGATCCGCGCACAGAAAGCGGTTTGTGTTTGCTGGTTCAGAGTTTTTAAACGGAAAACAAATATGTGTGGATCAAAAATACACATTTAAAACTTTTTCTGTATTTGGATTTTATTTACATGTATATGAAACGGAACACATGTTTCTAAAAAATTACTGTACGTACAAGTCATAAAGCTCTTAAACTGCATTGTACTGCAATTTGTTGATCGTTTATCATATATTAAATCAACATTTTTAACATAATTGAATAGGGGTCTGCATATATTCTAAATGAAATGCTGTCTTGCCTTTCATATGTAAGACATATTTTCTAATGGAAGGCTTGATAACATCTGTTGTAGATGAGCAGTTACATCAAAACAGTGCTATACATGTTTTGATGTAAAGTAAGCTGCTGACTATAAGTATTAACTAATTTTTACTTCATTTATGCTTCTCTTTGAAAATTAAAAAAGAAAAAACCTTGGATCCAATTATTTCTCTTTTTAAATATTTGAAGTAGTGGAAAGTTCTCAATAAGCACAACTTTGTGAAGTTTCACTGGCATGAATGTGTTTCTGAATTATGGATATAGTATTTATCTCTGATGTCCTCTCGTCCTCTGCAGCCTAAAGACCCTCCCCCCCGTGTTGGACACTGGGACAGAGGGATGCGTGTCTCGCGGTCCTCCATACATGATGCCTTGACACAGGATGCCTTCAGTCCCAGTGAGGGGGCTCTGTCAGGGGGCAGACCTGACGCCGTGGCCCCCCGCAGCTCCAGGCTGTCCTGGAAGTCAGAAACAGAGGACAGAGGTAAAGCACACACATTGTTCCTCTACGATTTCTAGGAACAGCTGTTTTCTTTTGTAAAGGAATTTATTAACGTTTATTTATAGGGTTAGAGTTAAACATATAAGGGTTACAAAACGTAACACTTTCAACCCAACAGCAGGAATCAGTGTTCCTGTCGCAAGGAGCTACTTTTAGTGTGAACAGCGGGAAGTTTTAATGCTGAATGCTTGTAGGTCATATTTAGCTCATATTTAGCTAGCAGTCCAGCCGCTGTATGCTAACTGAGAATCCTTCAGGTTAGCTCTAGGGACCCTAAAATAATGGGTTCACCAGCTACAGGAAGCAAAAGCTACTGTATCTTGAGTCCTTAGACTGAGTTTAGGGCACAAAATACTGTATTTATACATAGTATACATACTTTGTTTATGTCTATTTTACCATGTATACTTTGCATCTTGGCCCAAAAACGGATTCTACTTATTGGTAGGAATAAAGTTTAGTCACTGATGTTCCTAGCATATTTCAGGCATCGAACCACAAACATGTTTGAAAACTATTGATTCCGGGACGAGGAAGCTGAAGTGGAAAAATGCCGTCTAATTTCTGTGTTTAAGGACTCATTCCTTCACCATCCACTAAGACAAAGATGTCCCAAACGTAATCCTAAAAAACTATTGTCCAAAAGAGTCACAGTGGATAACAGTTTTGTGTTTCTGTGATGAATCACAGGAGGAGGAATGGTTGAAAAAGGACCAGAAGAAGAGGAAGACGAGAAAAAGGACCAGCTCTCAGAAAGTCCAGTGTACTCTGCCATCTCCAGAGCCTCCGCCCGCTCCCTGTCTCCGCTGAGACGCCACAGCTGGGAGCCGGCCCGGAACAACCCCCCCGCAGACATGGACCTGACACAGCGCAGGTGCTGGGTTTAACTGAGTCTGGCCTTCAGCATACTGAAGACTTCCTGGGTTATTTCATATGTTTTGAATAATTAAAGTGGACCTATCATGCTATATTTGAATGAAATATTGTAGGGCCATACCTATATAAAACATGTCTGTGAAGTTTTTTTTTCAAAATACCAAACAGATCATGCATTTGCTGTATTCCAGCCCTGTCTTCACAAGGGCTGATTCTGTGGCAAATGAGCTGCAGCCGACCACGCCCCCCTGCAAAGGAGGGGGGCGAGGCACGAGCGTCATGTTACCATGCTGTTACCGTGCTGTTACCATGCTGTTACCATGCCACGGCAACCCCCCATTCCCTTGATAGGTGGAGAGTTGCCCATATAGGCGGAGCTCCTTGTTCCTGACGTCAGAGAATTTCAAATCTGTATCAGTCTGTATCAGATCCGTTGCAGCCCCGTTTTTAGAGATTTGGGTATTTTTAGCCATGCCTCATTTCGCATTTTCTGACACTTGGTGAGTTCCCTGGAACACCAGGGACACATATTCATGTATAAAAGACGTACAAAAGTGCATTTTGCATGATAGGTCCCCTTTAAGTTATCATTACATCTTCAATGGGGGCACCACCTTTGTGTCATATCATCTGTGTAGCCTCATAAAATAGTCTTATCAAATATTTGAGTGACATAACAGATACAAGGCAATAATAAATAGAAGCTAACATATAGAGAAAAGCACACATTAGTAATACAAAATAATGAAATATAAATACACATGCATGGCTAAAAATAAGCAGCCGTGAACTATTAATAAGGAACTTTGATCGATTATTACCTTAATAACTACGAAAAGGAGTTGAAAGGTTTTGAAATGATTGTGTATGTGTTGTAATTGACTGTCGATATAAAGCATCACACAACACACAGCATCAGGACTGTCTCAATTCTCTGTCAAATGAGATGTAAATCAACAATATATTTAGAAACCATCAATTACCATAAAAAACACATAGAATGGACTTCTCACATCATCTCCTTCTGAAGTATTTGCTGTCATCAACCTCATGTTCATACTGCATCCTGTCACTACATGAAAACATGTGTGATCACATCCAATAATGTATGTTTCTGCGATGCAGTGGAGAAAGGTGTTCATGGTTTTAACATGAGCATATTTCATGTAAAGTAAATACCGACACAAACCAAGGCTAGCTAGTTCAGTGCATTAATGAGATCTAAAAATAGCGCTTTCTGTCATAGTCTGGCTTCAGCTCCATTCTTTCAGTGTATCCTCTGTCTGCACTAACAGTCCATCTGTCCTTCTTCCAGCTCCATGAAGAGCCTCTCAGGGGAGATGCAGAGAGCCAAGCCCCCCCTCCACAGGAGAAGGTGCGTCCCCTCCCTCTCACATCACTGTGTTCCTCACATTCTGCTCTTCACTGCTGCGGTTTGCTGTTAAGGAAACACAGCTCCTACTGCTGCTGTTACTGAAGGATTCTTTCAGGCTCACATGAATGACCAGAGACTGGTGGAGACTCCAGAAGAAAAACGTGTAGAAATGATTGTATTATGATATTTACTTTCGCATACAGAAGAAGTAATTGATGGTAGAACAGAGCTAGCTCCCCATTATGGACTGAGGAAGCTTCATAGATATATAGACAGGGGCGGACTGGGACTACAAATCAGCCCGGGACTCTCGAACGGCCCACTTCGGTACCGCAAGTAAATACCGCTAGTAAATTGTCTACGGGGACGGGGTGCTAGTGACTTATCCGACCGGCCCACTTCAGTACCGGCCTATCGGGATTCGCCCCAATGGCCAGTCCGCCCCTGTATATAGATATATAGATATTTAAATGATGCGTATACAGTATATTTCTATTAAGCTATTATTCTTATTCATATTAATACATGTAGAAAAGAACTCACTCTTTTTACACAATTTGATTTGACAAATTGAAATGACCCCATTACAAAAATGTGTACAAAGAGTTGAGATGCAAGCAGCCCCTCAGACTCAGTATTTCTACATCACCTGTCATTTAGTTGACTCTTTTATCCGAAGCAAATTAAAAACAATTCAATACCATAGACATTTGGGATTAAGTAGCTTGCTCAGGGACACTGACTGGTAAATGCCCATTCATCCCCTGAGCCAAATCCGCCCACAGCCACATGTCTGTCGTCATGATAACACCATCATTAACTTCATTTACACATCATTTCATCCACTAATCATCTCTTCTTCTGACATTTTCTATCCTCCACCATCTTCCCATCCCTGCAGTATCAGTTGGTGTCCATCCAACCTGCGTCGCACCGATCAGGAGCAAATAGACAGCAGAAGGTAAACAGCAGGGGTCTTTAATGATAAAGCCCCCCCTCGGAGCATTAACTAGAATGTAAACCACCGCCTCATGTCAGAGGGCAGTTAGTAACATGATGTGTTGTTCTGTTCTCCCCAAGCTACAGCCTGGAGGGTCTGGAGGGGGAGAGGGGAGCGCTGCCGGCTCAGTGCCCCCCCCTCAGTGAGCAGCAGGGGGAGGCTGCAGGGAGGAGTGTGAGAGTGGACCTGCAGGAGAGAAGAGGCTCCCTGCTGTCCCTCACTGAGGAGGAGCAGGAAGCAGAGCACACACACTGCCAGGTGAGGGAGGGAGGGGGGGGGTGNTACTCGGCAAACTTCGGAACCAACATCGGTTTTTAACGTATATATGTCATTTAATTATGACCAAACTTTAAACATTTGTATTTATTTTTATTCTGGTGATATCTAAACTACATGTTAAAAAACACCTGTGTTAGATGCATTACATGGCCTTTAATAAGACTTTCCAAAGCACAGGCACAGGCAGAAGGACACACATATATAAAGCTAAAATATCAACTGAATCTAAACTTAGAAAGTCTTTGTACCTTTTAAAAACACTGGAGGACAAATTTGATAGCTTCTTTCTTTGGATCCTAATGAATCCTAATGACCACAAAAATAGAGTAAAATAAATTGGATGAAAACTTGAGTGTTGGGGCGTGAACTGCATTTAGCTATGGGCTAACAGCATGTTGTAATGAAAAGAGCAATAAAAGACTAATTTGTATTACATTTCATGTCTTTACATGTATTTTTTGAGTGGGGCATCTGTGAGTGTCAGCTCTGCTTAATCAATGGCGTGTCACTTGCTGACAAAACATATTGCTTTTGGCTAGAAAGCGTTTGACTTTACATATAGTGGTTTTAAAGCCCAATTACAGAGGAGAGCTGAAGCATAAGCTTACCCCCAGAGCAGAACAAGACAGACACAGCAGAACTAATACCAGAACGCACTCAGACGTAGAGATTCAGCACGGGAATGATGGAGGGTGATTAAGAAGAGGGGGTGAGAGCGGCAACAGGCAATATATTATTTTATTTCGTTTTCTTAACAGTGGTAGATCTTGAACTGGTAGACATCTATAGCTGGTGTCTGAGAAAAAAGTTGGTGAGGGTAAATGTCAGGGATGAGACATGTGGAGGAGGTGGAATGAGAAAAATAAGCAACAAGAAGAGACAAGAGAGAAAACGTAAGAAAGAGGTGAGATTGAAGACAAAGACAGCTGAGAGAACTGAGGCTTTTGGGGCAGTAGTAGCAGATATTACAGGAGGGACAAAGGCAGAGAGGTGACAATGGGTTAAAACTGCAGGTAAGGTGAAAGGAAATAAGACAATATGAGAAAGAGGAGAAGGTGATAATGAAATCAACAATGGAAAGAGGTGTTTCTGATGTCGACTGAAGATGAAAGGTTGTTAAGGTGGTGTATTAGAAAAGAAAAGGCTTGGTAGCATGCTCAGCATGAGAATCATCAGGCAACGGACCCAATGTTCTTGTGTTTGTCAAATGTTATAACATTTCTGAAAAAATTATCAACCTTCAAAAACAACCAAATATAATCAACACATATTTCTGGAAGTGTAGTCATTTAAACAAAAAAAAAGGATTTGAAGGTTAAATTACTTCAAGGCTTTGACGCTAGAAGCTAGTTAGCAACAATTGTGTACTTTAGCTAAACATTGGGATGAAAAATAGCTATTACATTTGCGGAAACAGCAATAAACAGTTTGACTAATACAACAAAATTACAAAGTACACTCTTTTTTCTGAGCTAAGTCACAGAGGCTCATTTGTTGTTATCACATACATCACCACCAGCCATTACATAACCTAAGATCAATACTTCTCTAAGACAACTGAGCCAACTAAATATAAGTGGACCTTCAGCTGAGATGTCCTAGAAAAGACAACTTAAACTTAAAGGCCATGTAATGCATCTAACACAGGTGTTTTTTAACATGTAGTTTAGATATCACCAGAATAAAAATAAATAAAAATGTTTAAAGTTTGGTCATAATTAAATGACATATATACGTTAAAAACCGATGTTGGTTCCGAAGTTTGCCGAGTACGCCCCCGATCACTCCCGAACGAGCGGTGACGTCACACGTGGCAAATATTGCCATTTGATCAAATCAGTCCAAATGGCAAGCAATGCGACAACTTCAGACAGCGACAGCGATCATTCAAGCTCAGATTCGGTGGGTTATCTGGATTCAGTTACAGAAGTAGAGAGTGAACCAGCTAGCCTTTCACTTCAAGGCATCTTGCCTTATCAGTACGAGCCTCCTGCCCGGCAATCGAACAACGAGGCAGAAACTTGTGAAAGAGAAGCGGATTCCGCAGCCGGCGAGACTCGAGTCGGCAATACTGAATGGTAAATTCTGTTTTATTTAATTTGACCTGCACTAAATGTCGATCTTAATTTGTCATCTGTTCCTCACACGTCCGGCAGATATTGTTTTTTTTTTTATGTTATGTACAATATTCAGGTGTACATGTCAATGCTGTGAAAGCATGCCCACTGCAGATGAATGTGTATGCTGCAGAGAGATCTGGCAGGTGATGGAACAAATAGACAGTTTGCAACCTACTGACCAGATAGAAGAGTCCGACGAGAAACCAAGGTGCATTATTAGCCACCCAGGCTTTAGAGAAGGCTGTCTCAGTGTTTGGACACTGAAAATAGCGTATCTTCAATACAAACAACAACACAGAGCAGTTGATGGCCCACTACACCAGTAAGTAAATATTGATTGACCCAACTGCCTATTGCAGCTTTGCTTTCATATAATACTTTTAGTCGCTACAGATATGGTACACTTTTAAAGATACCATTAAACTCTTTCAAGCAGTCAAAAACAGCTTGGCTTTTATTTTTTCTGTGTATGCAAGTTCAATGTATGCTTGGGAAAAGAAACAACTACACATGTGAGGAAATATATAAGAGGTCTATGATTCTGTCAAGCAGTCATGTACAACCTCATATTTATTTTGTACAAGTAAAATACAAATATCATGTTATAAGCCAATTTGTAACCATTGCTACATAATAGTACTACATAAAATTTTATTTTTCTCCAAATATATTTATAATCTGTATACTTTTTTTTCATTAGGAAGTATCGATATACAGCTTATCGACAGTTTGTACGTTGGTGCTGGGGTGTACTCGGCCCAAAAATCAGAGTCCCGCTCCTGCATGTGCTGTAACCGAGATACGGAAGACTTACCCTGAACCGGGAGGCCGCTATCAGGGATTTCAATGGCCAAATCTGTAATTTGACATAAGTCATGCAGCTGAACTGGTTAAAATGGTTTCGCACAATGTAAATAATTTACAAAGTACATCATTTACAATATTATTTTTCCAAAGAAACATGTAAATATAACAACATTTTCCAAATCACAAGTTTGTAAGATTGTATTAATTTACTGTTTGATAAATAAAAAAGGGTTCTTTTGTTAATTTTTCACTTGTAACATTTGATCTTTATTGCAGTGTACATTAGTCTATTTTGGTATATGTGCGAGCCCACAAATAATTAAAAGTGTTAAAAAATAATGAAGATATTCAGACGTAATTCATTTTTGGCCTTACTTATTTCACTTCAACTTTTATATATTTCAGTCACTAGGCAAGTTCACTGTACTCTGGTGACATTTAGCTCAAGCTGGCATAACACCTGTAGTAACTTAATTCTGACCCGAGTTTTGTGCACAATCTTCCAGCACCCATGATCAATGTTTATAGCAATCAGGAAACATTCACAGCTCACAACTACACATCGCTTCCCCATCATGAATTGTTAAGTTTAGCGAGGTCCGGTTACACATATGTTGAGCGAAAATAGCGGAAGGATACAAAACAAACAATCCAGACGAGGCTGGTGTTTGCCACGTGTGACGTCACACAGCTGGGTTAATGGCTGGCAAGCTTTTCGCCACCGGAGCGGAATAACACGGGAAAGTGGCACACATTTCCTGTTATTTGGGGGGTATTTATGGAAAGAATCATTGATCTTGATATGTCAAATGAAACAGTGGAAAGTGATGAAGCGATTTATGAACACAGAATAACGTTTATTTTGGACATTTCATGGACTTTAAGAAGTCTGAATAATTGTTAATTTCGGAATTATAAACAAAATGACCATATCCAGATACTGTATCCAGAGCGGGTAACTGTTGACCCTTTTTGGGAATTCTTTCAAAGTTGGCATAATCACTGTTTTGCAACATTAAACAGACCAGCATGTATATCTTTCAATTTATTTTATTTTAAATATAATAACTGATTAGAAAATTGAAAAAACATACTATTTGTGTATGTAAGAGTGTTTGTGTGACTGTCTGTGTATGTGCGTGAGTTACTGTGCATGTGTTTGTCTGTGTGTGTTCTTTTGTGTGCATTTGTGTTTGTTTGTGTGTGTTCCTTTCTATATTTGTCTATTTGTGTGTGTGTGTGTGTGTGTGTGTGTGTGTGTGTGTGTGTGTGTGTGTGTGTGTGTGTGTGTGTGTGTGTGTGTGTGTGTGTGTGTGTGTGTGTGTGTGTGGCGAGAGATTTTGTGTGTGTGTGTTTGAGAGTGTGTGTGAGTGTGTGTGTGTGTGTGCCTGTGTTTGAGAGAGAGAGAGTGTGTGTGTGTGTGTGTGTGTGTGGCGTGTGGTGCAGTGGATGGTGCGGATCAGGGGGGCACAGGTTCAAACCCCACTGCAGTCAGCAGTTCGTTGTGAGACACTTCACCCCAAATGGCTCCTGTGGGGGATTGCCCACAGTATAGAGTATGTAAGTCGCTTTGGATAAAAGCGTCTAACAAGTGACGTGTGTATGAGAGGGAGAGTGAGAGCTCCCTTCCTGATTTAAAAGCAGTCAGACAGCAGCCGCTTGTAATGACTTTATCAAGAAGGAATCACACTGAGCATTAAAGAGGAGACATACAGGCAGGAGAGAGTAGGAGACAGCAGTTAGTCATGTTGAGTGACAGGTTTAATCGCTCTGTGAGGTGGAGAGGAGAAATCAGACCTGATGGGGTAAGCTAAATCTGTCTGTCTGTCTGTTTATATTCAGGGTGGGAGAGGTCGGCCATCTTTCCTTCCCTTATGCACATACAGTTATAGAGTATTACAGCTGGGCAATAATACAGTTTATAATAAAATACATAAAGTTGTATCTCTGGGTATGTTAGTATATTATATATATATATATATTGTGTTGTGAATTACTGAGGCGTTATGACTTGCTGAAATCAATAGGACATAACCTGTTGATCTCTGTATGAACATCCATCTGTTTCAATGCTTCCAGGAGAAAGAGAAGGAGAAGAAAGGAGAGAAAGAGAGTAAGGAGAAAGAGAAGAAGAGCACTAACGGTCACCTCTTCATCCCCGTCAGTCCCTGTGCCCCCTCCTCCTGTCTGCACTGCTCCAAACCTCTGCACAGCAAAGACACCTTCCTGTGCAACAGTAAGACCCCCCCCCCTCCTCTCCCTCCTTCCTCTTCCCTTCACCCCGGTTTTCCAAATATCATCTTATCTCCATATCTCTCCTGCCTAACTCTCTTGATTCCTCCTCTTCCTCTCGTTACCTTGGTAGTTTCACTCTAACCCTTCTCTTCTCACGGTACAGACCCACATTCACTTTCATCAGCGGTCGCATTACTTAGAACACATTCATTTCCAAACTGAAAGAAGAAAGCAGAAGCTGCTGACATGTGATCCTTTCTGAATCATTGTGATGTTAGTCTACCTTCAGGATCATATTTATGTTTTATTATCGGGGATAGTGAGCACACATTAACAAAACCAGACATCCTAAATAACTTTGAACACCTTATCATTTTTTAACTCAAACAGGCTCTTTCCTTTACTGTAAATTACTTTTGAAGAGTTTTTTTAACCTCACGTCCAAATATAGTTTTATTCATATGCCATATTAACTTATGTAACACACATTATTGACATACATGTAATACATACTGTTAGTTTAAAGGACATTATGTAAAAATACTCACTTTCATCATAGGACTACCTTTCTGTGTTACTAAACTTTAACTTCTTTTTGACATTAGGTTGCATGCTAAGTATTATAATATCAACATTTCTGTGAAGAAAACGTTACTAATGTATGCTTCCAGTCCTTTTCCACCTTCTCTTGTCAACCCTGGTGATTCTAAAATTAGATGTGAAAGTCTTGCAACTCTTTGACTATCTGGGATTTGTTCATTATGATGTCACTGCTCCTCAGCTAAAGTGATCAAACATAAAACCAACCACACTCATGCTTTGAAATGATACTTATTTTTAAGATTTTAGGCGGCAGAAATTATCAATATTTATCAGGATGCAATTATTGCCTATATGTTGTCAGAAACCTGTTTTAGTCTACTGTTTTACTGTACGTTATTGATCAGAAACAGACTTGAGTGTACTTTTCAACTGTAGAATCTTGTTGGAAACTTGGATGTAAGATGAGAAAGTTTGCCCAGTGTTATTTTTTCCTCTGGCGGCTTTGTCACAAATGATCTAAATTGACAGCCACCTTCTGACCTACAGTGTTTCTGAAAAAAGAGAATAACTTCTTCTGCCTTGTACATTTACATCCAGCTTAATTGTATAGTGTTCAGTTCTGATGGACATCCTGCCCTATCTAATGTTACTTACTGTAGTGTATGTCTGTCTTTTTAAAAGCACAACAGTAGCATATCATCACAGGCCATGAATAAAACATTAGGGTTGGTGTGTATATGTTTTATAAAATGTGTGTGATGTGATCTTGTTCACAGACTGTGGAGCCCATGTCCATAAGTGCTGCAGAGAGAGTCTGTCTGTCTGCACAAAGAGCAGAACAAAGGTAGGTCTGATACTCACCGCCTTCTTCTCTAAAAGTATCCATGCACTCATCAGCGTAAGAAAAGATACAGACTGTCAAATCAATGAATAGACATTGAAATAATGAATCGTAATTATTTGTATGACAAATTATCTTCAACTATTCTAAAAAGTTGACCTCATGATGTCCTGTGTTTGTCCCAGCAGCCATCCCCAGTGCCAGAAGCTGCTCCTGGGTCAGCTGTTAGCTTGAGGACTAAATGTAAGAACACATACACTCTGCTGTTGTTAAACGTGTAGAGAAATAATCATACATGGGTCGATTACGTTTTTTTCAAGCCTAGGAGGAGCCCAGTACCTTTTAAACTGTTAATAAAAAGCCTTCTCAGTCCATTATACATCTGTATTTCCTCGCTACTATTGCTATAGTAAGTCCACTTTGATGTTTTTATGCAGCTACATCTTCAGCATCATCTGTATCATCTGCATCCTCGTCTTCGTCACGGGAACGCTGGTCCACGGCAACCACTCCTGATGACCAGCTCCCCACGTTGTTTCCACGGAGACACAACAGCATCTTCAACCCGCACAGCAACCTGTCCAAGAGCATCTCCACCAGCAACATAGCAGGGTGAGAACCACACACACACACACACACACACACACACACACAGCGCACTACTGTTAGTATTGGCTATCTTGTCTGGGGTCCACACACTTTCAGTCAAACACACATTAACAATCAATTGTGAAACAAATAAAAAAAAGGATCATTCTTTTTAAACATCATTAAACCAAACACAAATTTAACAATTAAACACTTTCAATAACACAATTATTCTATAAATAAACAGTAATTCAGGGTAAACAAAAGCCGCCTTAAATTGTACATTTTTCTATCCTGCAATTCCAGACATGGTATATTCCCAGAAAATATGTTATTGAAAAACTTTGACAATAAAAATAAAAACAATTCTTTGTGAATAATTTGTCTAGATTTACATCTAATTTCTGAAGTAAAGATTTGTTGTTATTTTAACAAAAGTTTGAAACCAGTTTTTACGTATTCGCGTAACAATACGTAAATAATCATTTCCAACTGACCATGGCTCTGTAACAGTGCTGCCAATTTATACAACAATTATGTACCGTAATTTTCGGACTATAAGCCGCGCCTTTTTCCGTATTTTTTGACGCTGCGGCTTATATAACGGTGCGGCTAATCTATGGATTTTTACAGCTAACGGCCAACACCTTTAACTCTATGGGCTCTATGGCCGGTCCGCGGACCCCTACCTTTAAGCGGCGGGTTCCAGCAGGAAAAGCTGGAGGCCGGAAAAGAGTGAGACAGGTAGCGCGCAAAAGTAAAAGTGGAACCGAGAGTGGTATGCCGCTGCTGCGGCTTATATTCAGGTGCGCCTTATAGTCCGAAAATTACGGTAATTGGCAGATTTATGGGACAATGGTATCAAACAGCGAGTTCAGCTGTTGTTTGACATTCATTATAGAAATGGGCGTACTAGTATTCACTTATATTTTGAGATAAAAGCAATTATTGTGTGGTGTAGATATAGAAATGCATGACAAACTGGTAAGGAGTTTTAAACTTTATTGTAACGTGATTTCTGAATTATTGGCATGACGTCCAATAATTTCCTGACACAAAACAAAGCTGCTGTCACAGAGAGCCGCTGTGACCCCCCTCTGTGTAATGTGAGGGTGTATCATCTCATACTGCAGCTCTATCTGTTCCTACAGTGGAGACCCTGTCTACTACTGTATCTCACACTCCTCTGCAACTCCAAGGAGCTGGAGCATGCTTCAGCAAAATGCCTTTCCTCTGATTCAACCACACTGGTAGTTATAGTTGAGGTAGTGATGGCTCTTCGTCATGTCTCTTGTGCTGCTTCCTCATTCGTGCTGAAATGAGCAGAAGAAGTTTGGGTCATTCTTGGTAGTATAAATCATTTGCGTTAATTCTTTTTAAAGGGTTTCAGATTAATCGCAAACAATAACACATTAACATTGACAACCCAATGCGTGATATTTCATCATAGGACTTGTATTAAATGTTATGTTTGAACTGCAAGAACACAGTATTGGGTTTTTCATCAAACTGTAGAACAGCCCTCATCTTGTTACCTCAGTGACTTCCTTTAAGTCACCACTAAGACCACTTCTCCCTGCACAGAGCTGAGTTTTTTACCCTCATTTGTTCCTTTCTTCCCTCTGTAGCGATCAAACATTGTATGTATGGTCCCAGTCGGTCATTCTCTGTTCCCTGTGTGAAGCAGCCTGTGTACATGCTGTAGACTTAAATGTTTTGTTGTGTCCCTTATAGGCTCGATGTTGAGGTTCCACTGAAGGGCCTGAAGTCTCTGTCCCAGTCCACCGACTCGCTCCATAAGGGGAGCAAAGTCAACGCCTCCACCGAGTCCCTCACTGATGAAGGTACACACAAACACACACACACACACACACACACACACACACACACACACACACACACACACACACACACACACACACACACACACACACACACACACACACACTCTCTCTCTCTCTCTCTCTCTCTCTCTCTCTCTCTCTCTCTCTCTCTCTCTCTCTCTCTCTCTCTCTCTCTCTCTCTCTCTCACACACACACACACACACACACACACACACACACACACACACACACACACACACACACACACACACACACACACACACACACACTAGGGATGCCAGAAACTGACCATGATCAAATTCGAACAGCCCTGGCGAATGTTAATCGATTATTCGCCTGCGCTGCTGGCTTCCTCCAAGTTTACAGTAAAACAACTGGTGCTGTGACCAATGGCCATTTACAATTATTAATACTATTACTATTATTAGCATTAGTCTATATTTTGGTTGAAACTAAGCCAGGAAAAAAAAGAAAAACATAAATAATAATAAAAACATATATAAATAAAATCGAATTTTAAAATTATTTTTAATTATGGAGACTGTAACGAATACTCGAAAAATCGAATAATCGCTGGCATCCCTAATACATACTGTATGTTAAATGGGTATATCCACCTTCTTTCATTTATCTTTCCATTCCCACAACAATATACATAAAGAAATGGCATATTTAGGACATAGTTTGAATGGTGATTAATCATGATTAATTAATTTTTAAACTGTGATTAATCTGATTAAAAATTGTAATCCTTTGACAGCCCTAATTAAAATACATTTATTTTAACTTTCCCACAATATTTCTATTTCACCATGCTTAGAAACCTTTTCAGTCAGAGATTGGTTTACGAGCTTAAATAGTAGACACTAGACAGAGGTGAAATTAATCTTAATTTAATGGCAAACAAGTAATCTCAAAAAGTGCAGATCCAGAGGAGAATATTTTGACGGCCCTTTTAACTCCACTGCTAAAGTCTATTTAACAGTGGTGTGACGATTTCAATACTGAATAGAAAATCATTTAAAATCAGATTTGGATCTTCAGAATCAGAGCGGGATCGGCAAGTCTCTCATTATTTGTTTAACACCCCCTTATTTGAACGTTTCTGAAAATAACTATACAATAACTATCACATCGACTGTGTTAACCAAAGCCTTCAGCGGCGCTTTCCTAGACACCATGGCCACATCTACTGCGTCTTTAACAGAACAACTGCACTTGGTGGCTTTTGCAGTTGCCAATGTGCTGCGTTTCAGTTTTCATTATAAAAAAAAGAATTGGAAACTTATATGGCTTGCTCCATTTCCAAAAACATATATGGGATGTATTAGTTTGAGACCATGTACCTTATATATTTTTTTAATGGTAATGACAGTTGTCCTCTTTCAAATCACCTGTAGTTATTTAAAAAGCAGCACTCGAACATTGACATAACCGCCAGGTGTGAATTTGATTCCAACAGCTTTTCCAATTTGTCACTAAGCGATTTAGAATTGAAAGTGGAATCATGCCATCTCTACTATTAAAGCAGCAGCAGTGAACTCTCCACAACAATGCAAATGTACCTCATGTTTGGATTTAGCTCAACAGGGTAGTCATGTATGTCACGTTTGTCCTGATGGTGGTAAGTCTAATCTTTTTGGAGATGAAACAACTGAAGTAAACCCTACCTGTCTCAACAGCAGGAGCCCCCGTCTCTTCGTCCTTTATCTTCTCCTGCTCCTCTGTTGTTTCTTGTTCATCATTCATCTTCTCCTGATTCTCGGCGTTGTCCTCTTCATCCTTCAGCTTGTCATGTTCCTTTGTCTTTTCAGTTTGATCCTTTCTCTTCTCTTCTTTCTCCGCTTGGCCCACTTCATCCTTAACCGTCTCCTCTTCCTCAGTTTTTGCTGACACCATGTCCTCTTTCTCTTCTCTTTCACTCTCTGAAGTCATTGTTCCTGATGCTGGTTCATGTGTTGAGGACTCGGCTGCAGGAAGCACTTCACCCTCAGTGTTGGAGTCCAGAGTGGCTTCTAAACAATAACAACAGATTTCAGCCAAAATGATCAACAATGTTAAACAATCAAAGGTCTGAAGGTGCGTTGACACCGGACGCAAAGCACATTTTTGCATTAATTCACTTGCGCGAGTTTGGCTGGGGTATTAATTTGTGTTTACTCGCGTCAATCACACTAGACACACTGGCGAGGAGGCGGGGCTTATCTCCATGTAGATACCATGGTAGATGCCAACAAAAAAAGGCACATTGTAATACATGTTTCACAATGATGCCGAAATAACTACATACTTATACTGGTTAAGCATTAATTAATGCTTTGGTGAGTGTGTCTGCAAAACTGCAGACGAAACACTTTTAAAATAAGTGATTTCTGAATGAAGATAAGATCGATCAGGCTAGGCTAAGCTAGTCTAGTTTCGGAACAGATATGAGGAACTGTGAGCTCGGTGTACCGTCGCCCAGAGCAAACAGCTACTGTACTGGTTTGGTTTTCTGATTCAATAAAGTCAGTGACGAGAGGCTGAGATTTTCCCCGCTATTGGCTTTCACAAGACAGCGTTACGCAAATCTATCGCTCCTTTGCGTCCGCTGTGAACGCACCTCAAGAGGCTGTTTCCTTCTCTTCATTAAAAAGGTGAAATCAGTGTGACGCTGTACCTGTGTCAGGAGTGATGTCAGCCTGTTGACATGTAGGCACGTGTGTTTGTGAATCTGCTGATTCTGAAGACACTAAACCATCGGAAGTCTCAGCTGTCACCATGGTCACAGCTTCACACTCTGATGCGTGCTCTTCCGGCCGGGGCCCCGGGGTGTCAGACATCATTGTTTCGGTTGTGACCTCCATGGGCGTGTCCTACAAACAGAGAACATGAAGAGGACCATGTTTTCATTGCATTGTGGAAATGGAAGTGAGAAGTTTGATGTATTCATACAATATATCCTGTAAAAAAGACACTAAAAAGATGTCAAACTGATACTGACTATTCTTGTAATTTCTGTAATTAACATGAAGAAGCAATTTTTAATTTATTCTATCACTCTTTTACTCTGAAATGTTCAAGTCTGATTTTTTCTAAAAAGGGAAACATTACTTTTTATTTGCATCATATTAATCTTTATATCTCTTCCTACGTATTATATTACTCCTCATGTCAATGTTTTGTGTGTATACAATGTACATCAAACATTGTATGTATTTTCTTGAATAAAGGGGGGGAAGGGAAGTTTGATGTATTAATAGGAGCTCTACTTTACCTCTGGAGTGTCCTGCAGGACAGAAGTGGGAGCAGCCTGCAGGACAGATGTGGGAGCAGCCTCCCCCCCCCCTGCTGTTTCAGTGGGACCAGAGGGAGGAGTGGAAGGAAGGTCTGCCACATCTCCAACTTCATCCAGCGTTACAAAGTCACTCATGTTGAAGGGGAAGTCGTCATTCTCCTCCTCCTCCTGAGTTTATGACGGGACAATAACATAAAAAGCAGTAGAAGTGAGGAGGAGGATGAAGAGGAAAGAGTTCCAACACGTCTTCAGCTCACAGCTGCATCTTACCGTTCTGTTCTTTGGTTCCTCCCTCCAGGAGCTCTGCTTGTACCCCCCTGATCTTCCATAGGACCTTGACCCCTCCCCGTGCGCTTTCTTCCTGTCCCTTCTGTCTCTGTCCTTCCTCTCCCACCTGGCTCTGTCCTCCCTCTCCCTCCTGGCCCTCTCCTCCTTATCTCGCCTGGCCCTCTCCTCCTTTTCCAAGGCCCTTCTCTCCCTGTCCTTCCTCTCTCTCTCCCTCACCTCTTTCTCCTTCCTGGCCTCCCTCTCTTTTCTCTCCCTCTCCTGCATCTTCCCCCCCTCCTCTGTGTTGTTGTTGGTGGGCTCTGTTGTCTCCTCAGCTGTTTTCTCCCGCTGCTCTGTCTCCGTCTGGATTTCCCTTGGTTCTCCATTAGCAGCTGCTCTGTTGTTGGGATGGTGAGTTCTGCACTCCACAAGCAGTGCGTTAACCATCGCTTGAGTAACCTGATAACAAAAAAAAGGTGGATTATTATTATTATTATTATTATATATATAATGTTTTTTTGTACAATGGAACTGAAACTGAAATATAAACTAAGTTATAAAATAAGATGTTGGAGGATTGAGACCTGAGCTACAGAAACAGATCTGACCTTAGGGAGCTCGGGCAGGGCCGTCTCCTGGGAAGCTGCTTTCCCCTCAGAGATGGATGGCCTTCTTCCTTCATCAGCAGGAATCCCATCATCTCCTGCTGTGGATGCAGTGACGTCCATGTTCTCTTCCGAGGCCTCCAGGACAGTTTCAACTGAATCTTCCCTCACGTCTGTCGCCGGGCCTGCTTCCGGTTGGGCCTCCGGTTGGGCCTCCGGTTGGGCCTCCGGTTGGGCCTCCGGTTGGGCCTCCGGTTGGGCCTCCGGTTGGGCCTCCGGTGCAGCCAGAGAGTCAGAAGCAGGAGCAGGAGTCTCATCCTTTTGGATCACATAGTCTTTACTCGACTCTTGTCCCATGACTTCACCTTTAAAAGCTGTATTTGTCTCCTCTTCCTGCCCGTGAGCGTCTCTTTCAATCACCTCCAATGGAGATTCAGAGCTCTCTTTATGGACCGACTCTTCTTCAGCTGTTTCCGCCTGGCTGCCTTTCAAAGGTGTATTCTACAATCAAGGGGGAAAGAATAACGACACGTCAAACATCATGTCTTAGAAACTGTAAGCGTGTGAGGAGTACGGAACTTAGGCGCAGTGGTGGATCATAAATCAATTACGGTATTAGATAAACTTTCACATAGAATTTTAGGTGAAGATATTCTGCAGCGGTATTTCAATTATTTAAATTAGCTCTACAATAAACAACAGTGATTAAAACAATTAATAATCTTAATGGTGACCCAGTATCTCTATATATTTACGATTCTGAAATGGGCCATATGGACTACTTTTACTTAAGTAAGATTTTGAATGCAGGACTTTTACTTGTAACAAAGTACTTTTAAAGTGTATTATTGCTACTTTTACTAGCGTGGAAAATAAGAGTACTTCCTCCCCCTCTGCTTTGACGCGGCTCCAACCTAAGCAGCACGGTCTAACCTCTACCACTTCCCAGTGAACCAGGCACAACCAAGCACCACTACTACCTTATATTAAACATGAGAGAAGGCTACAAATAGGATTGAAATGTATCCCAACACCAGTGGTGGAAAGTAACCAAGAACATTTACTCGAGCACTGTACTGAGGTACTTGGAATATAATTTTTTTTTCTGTGCCACTTTATACTTCTACTCCTCTACCATCAGAAGGGAAATATTCTCCTTTTACTTCACTAGATTTATTTTACAACTTCACTTACTAGTTACTTTATGATTCAACGATCTGACATTATATTTTTGAACACCTAAAATATTGAGTGGGTTGACAGAAAATAAATTCAATACAATCAATTTAGCTAACTGTTGGTATTTTTGGACAGTTCTAGTTCTTTTTAAAAAATGTTTTATAATTTAGAGACTTTTTCTGCAATGAGTATTTTAACTTCAAATACTTTAAGCACATTTAATTTGCCGCTCTGTTGTAAAGAGTACAACAAAGTTTAAGTTAAAAATAGCTGTTACTAGCAGCATCACATACCCTCTCTCATGGATATGACAATATTAATGTTAAGCCTGGAAACTTTACAAATAATTAAATACTTAATCCTAAGTACTGCAGACTTTAAACTTGAACCAGCAATATTTACTTATCTTTGGTTACATATTAGCAGCTATATTTGATTACATAGACAAATGTTATAACAAAAAGCAGAAGCAAATAATATAAGGTATATAAAGTGCATTTTATAACTTTCACTCCTCTTCCTGTTACGTGTATCCACAACAATACATACAAAAGCTGCAGATACGATATGATAACGTATCGAAATGAATTTCCCACAACTCTTTACAACCATTCTAAATGAAATATCAGTAACCCACCTCAGATGGATCATAGGATTCAGTGATGACTTTGGTCTGTGTGCGGGCTCTGGGGTCCGGCTTGCGGGAGAAGAACAGAGGGTTGTTCTGGATGATGCACGGAAAATTCCTGAAGCGTTTCAGAACAGACAATGCCATAGCTGCTGTTGCCATCTCACAAACGACCTGAGCAGGGAGACACAGATCGCTATGTCAACAACATTTGAGATGTGTTTGCCTGATGAATAAAGAATTGAGACAGAAAGATTGACCATAGCTGTAAGTGTTGGGGGGCACGTGGTAATGGTGAGCACCCTCACCAGTTTGTTGAGCACTAGGGTCTTGATGACGGTCCCAAAGCGTCGCACCAGCTTCTGGACCTCGGAGCAGCCGGACGGCGTGTTGGGAACGTTTCTGATCACCAGCAGGCAGTTCCAGGCGACTGCAGCAAAACTCTCCTGCAGGACGCAGCGAGTCCAGTTAAAAACATAAAGAACTCAAGGCCTCAGCAACTCCACTGCTTTTAAAGGTTTAAATGCCCAATTCATCACAGCCTTTACGGTGACATAACGCAGCCACAACTTACTGACATCAAATTTATTTCCTAAACATTTTTCATCATCAATTTAACAATTTTGTCTTTTTTGCCCTACATAATTCTGAATAATCAATAACATGAATATTGTAAAGGTACTACAAAACAAATGTCATTTAGATGACTTATTATGAATGTGCACTGCCCCTGTTAAAGGGATAATAAAAATGAATTAGACAGAATCTATACTGGATGAAATACTCACTAATGGGTCCACTGATCCCATCAGAAGATTGTAGAGAGCCACCTATGTAAAGAGATGAAGAGTATTCATCTCTGTTATTGCAGAATGGTTACTGTTCCACACAGTATCATACCAAAGGAGGTGAGATAACGGACAAAGAACAGAAGAGATAAGATGGTCATGTTATTGTACAAGAAGATGGGATAAGGGATGGGAGCCATACCGGTGTTCCGACACTGATCCGCTGGTTGAGAGGGATCATCTTCAGCTCTGAGTCATTTATCCTGGCAGGAGTGAAGGAGTGGACTTTTACCATCTCTTGAGCAATCTCCATGTCTGGCACTGACACAATAACCTAACATACACAAAGAATGTTTCATATTAGTTGTACGCACATCAACGTTTGTTACAAAAATGTAAAAATAAAACAAATCATTTATTTGGACATTTCTATTACACAGCTTTGCAGCCAAAACAGAAAGTGAACTATCTTGCAAAAACAAGGTACTTAGAATGTGTTTTAGCTTCTTTTACTGCTATCCTGTTGTGTTTCTCCCCTCCGGGAAACAGCAAAAGCTTCAGATGAAACTGTGTCCAACCTTTCCGATGTGTGCTGCCTGGATGATGTCAGAGGGAGTTCCAAAGGGCTGCACCAGCTCAATGATGCTGTTCTTTGACCAGCCGCTCTCAGGAAGTCCTGTGATCAACACCATGGCCTTCTGTGGCAGAGATGTATTGGAAGTTAAATGGGATGCCAAATGATTTAATACCATGATTCTATTATTACACAAAAAACCTGGATTGCACATCCAGGTACAATAAGATACAATAAGGCAGAATGTGTCAGCTTGAGAGTTTGTTTGACACTCAGTAGGAGATGAGCACACAATAATTATGTTATACAGGGTATGTGTGATCATGTACCTCATCAGACGTCTTCTTGTCAGACTCAGCTCCTGAAATAGAAAATGAGGGAGGAGATCGGGGGCAAAGAGCAGAGAGAGCTACATTAGAACATTTTCAAAAACCACAACCCCACTAATATGTGAACATGTGCATAGCCCTGTGGGACCAGAATTCACAGGGGTCAGTTGCATTGTGAGCCAGGCAGCAGGTTGAGGGCACGGACAGACAGATAGTGAGGGAGGTGGATTGCTACCACCTAGATATAGTTGGGCTAACCTCTATAAATAGGGTTAGGAACTAAACTTCTGGAGATGGGCAGGGTTATTCATAAATGCCCTGGTAGCAGATTGTTAATTGACTTGATGAGGGTGGACTTGGGAAGTGTGGCTGAGGCCATGTTTGTGAGGTTTCCAGGTCCAAAAACTCCACTTAGGAGGAGAACCAAAGGGGAACTTATGCTGCAGAAATAACCTGCTCCAGATCAGGTTATGTTCAGAGTTTAGGCTTGAAATCAGCCAACTTTGCTGTTTACCAACTAGTTCTTTTTAGATAGCGTGCCTTTGTATTCAATCTATGAGTGGTAAATATTCTTATCAGAATATATTATTATTATATTGCAGCTAATACAAAGCCGATTAGAAAATTGATATGTCTATTGTATCACAGATATAATTTAATCAATATATTTCATTTAAAAAAGGACACTGTCCAACCACATATATGCATCGAGTGGTAAATTAAATACATTTCTCATGTGTTTACAGATTGGTACATTTCTTCCAATACTCATCTCCTTTTTGAAGTAACAGGTTGGCTTATGCTGTGTTTTAATTTGTTGTATTCTTATAAGGCAGAAGTGGGCGGCTATCAATTGCTTTCATGCGGTTCATGACTCAAATGACGCACAAAACGCAGCTTTTTATGTGAACAAGCACAGAGCCTGAGGAGGAAAGCCTGGGTTCACAAAAACAGTTGATAACCACCTTCGTAGTACCACTTATCTCTGAACAGGGGTTTTGGTTTGTAGCCAGCGGAGTCAAAGACACCCTGGCTCTGTTGAATTCACTTCATAGTGTTAGAAGGATGTTTGTGCCTGACTTGGCTGCAAGTCAAGTACCGTAATTTTCGGACTATAAGCCGCGCCTTTTTTCCGATTTTTCGACGCTGCGGCTTATATAACGGTGCGGCTAATCTATGGATTTTTACAGCTAACGGCCACCACCTTTAACTCTATGGGGCTCTATGGCCGGTCCGCGGACCCCTACCTTTAAGCGGCGGGTTCCAGCAGGAAAAGCTGGAGGCCGGAAAAGAGTGAGACAGGTAGCGCGCAAAAGTAAAAGTGGAACCGAGAGTGGTACGAGAGACATTACGAGAGCGAGACAGTTTGTCCCCGTACCACTGGTTGAAAACCACTGCTGTAGATCACTGCCGGTACGTGCGCTGGGAGCGCACCGTTTAAGTTTGAAAGTTGAAAAGTTTGTGTGTCTGAAACGCTATGTGATACAGTACAGTTTACACAGCACAGTACATCTTCTGTAGCTACTATTGCACTAAATGGTAACACTTGAATACGTTATGCAAATATGCAACTTGTTTGTTGAAAT